TCTCTCTCTCTCTCTCTCTCTCTCTCTCGCTCTCTCTGTGTGTGTGTGTGTGTGTGTGTGTGTGTGTGTGTGTGTGTGTGTGGAAGTGTGTGTAAGTGTGTGTGTGTAACTGTGTGTAAGTGTGTAAGTGTGTGTATGTGTGTGTGTGTGTAAGTGTGTGTGTGTGTGTGTGTGTGTTTATGTGTGTATGTTCTTGTGTGTGTGAGACTCCACCTTTTTCCTGGTTTTGATATTCAGAGCTCGGGTGGACCCCGCGCAGTAACGCCGGGATGCGTTCGGCCTCGTCAGTTTCGGGAGTGTCGCAGGCTGAGGTGGCTAGACGGCACCAAGATTTGTCGGTGGTGCGACTTGAGATCTCGCGGGGGGATGGAAGAGCCCCCCAAGACCAACAAGCGTAAAACACCCGTCCTGAGATCCGATCTATCACAAATCCCGCCTGGAGCGGCCAGACGCGACTTCTCAAAGACCGAATTTGCAGATTCAACTTCCAACGACTGCACAGATTCAAGGTCGGACGTATGAGGCGGGGTAACGGAAAGGAAAAAGGAGGGAAGAGTGTCCCGCCGTCCGTCTCACGAATCTACGGTCCATTTGTCTTTGCTTGTGTGAGGGCATACACCAGCACTTTCAAAAATGCATTTGACTGCATTTACAGCCAGACCTCGATGCGCCTGATCACGTCCATAATAAGTCAAAAAGTGCCTCAGATACGGCACACGGCATCGCCACAACACTGTCGAAGCGAAAAACGTACGTGTCTTTCAAAAAAAAAAAAAAAAAACAACGTACGTGTGCATATTCCTCAGAAATCGGTAGATGCATCCCTTGTAACCGAAGCATCTGGCCACTCCCGATGGAGACATGCACTAGAGTGGATTTTTTTTTTCACAAGGACAGTTGTTCCTTTCTTTACGTGGGGAACTGCACATGTCGGCAAACGGGCCCAATGTCCCTCATGATTCCACATGAGGCCGGTGTCCTCACAGTCTAACATTACAGGGAGCATTACCCGTCTTCGCTTCTGAAAGAAAAAATTTTGATTATGAAGAAAATCACTGGAATAAGAACTAAGGGCGTAAGGGCCTCGTTAGACACTCCTTGGAAAATCCTCAGGAATTAGGATGATGCCCTTTTGCAAGTTGTCCTTACGCGGCCTCCTAAATCGCAGCCCTTAGGCTGCGGTATAGTGGGCTTCTGCGTCTGTGTCAAGGTGTCGCATTGTCTACCGCGTGGGCGCGGGGAACGCAGCCCTAAGGTAGCCAAATCAATGAGACTAAGAGCTAACACAAGAGAGAGAGAGAGAGAGAGAGAGAGAGAGAGAGAGAGAGAGAGAGTTTTGTTACATTTATTGTTATGAGTGTGAGA